TACATATTTTTCCTTCAATATTTATATGTTTTGCTTTTCTATGATGCATTAATAACGCAGATAAACTTTACAGAAATTGAAAATTGCAAATAAGCTCGAAACTGAACTACTCTCTTTCAAAATGATGAGTATTTGATCCGATGTGATTCACTGAAAAGATTTAAAATGCCTCAAATCTGCTGCTTCCGTTGCCATGACGACGAGAAATTTTAGCCTTTGCCGGAAACGAATATGATCTCTCGAAATTGGCCCTGTCCTCGACGAATGTAAATCTAATTTAAAGAACCTTCTCTCTTTATGTCAAAAATGCGTTAAAAGCAAATATGGCACAAAGCCACCCCTCAAAATACTGCACTGTATCATATATCTTCCGGAAATGTAAGCAACTTTATAAAATGGCACTTACTTTCAAATTATTTGAAAAGATCAAAATTCTCTGAGTGCTTATGACTAGTTCTGCTTCAATTTCAAATTTTTAAAAAAATAAAATAGGGAACGGACAGTTTAAATTGTGACCCAATTATTTATTAAAATATATTTGATTTCAATAAGCCTTTTTTACACGATGAACATTTACAAAAATATTGAATTAATTTTTTAATGAAATTTTTTATAGACGTTTAAATTTTTAAAAATAAAGGCTTACTTTGATAAACTTAAAATAAATGTTTAGTTTAAAAATAAAGCACTTTTGAAGTAAAAATAGGAAAACTATCAGAGTTGATAAATAAAAGAAGCGTTATATTTCATTTTAAAATGTCGAGGTGTGACATTTATTTATAAGGAAGTAAGCGTTTTGTTTACAATTTGTAATAAATAAGTTTAATTTACTTTTATAATAAGTTGGTTATAAGATAAAAAGAAAAAAGTTTGTAACTTTTAATCAAAGTAAGTAATTTATTTATCATATAAATTGAAGGAAGGAGGATGAATCTAAATATTATTTCTATGTTCTAAAGCACTGAGCATTCCTTGTAAAGATTCGATACCCGGTGGTGCCTCGATGCTCACCTAGGGTACTAAATTAGTATAGGAAGAAAAGGCATCCGATTTTAACTAAGTTGCCACCATTACGCCAATTAGTCTTCAAATTAAGGAACCTGAACCTCCCTTAACCCTCTTTGGCAGACTGCTGAGGAACTACGTTATTTTAATTGTATGTTTTAAAATAAGTAAACTAGTTTGTTTAACAGGACTTACCTATGTTCCGTAAACTGATTTATCTATGCCAAGTATATATGAGTTTTTATAACTTTCTATGCAAACAAATGCAGTCTAAGTTAAAAGAAGAAGTAATCTTATTCAGATTACTGTTTCTTAATTGATGAAACTATTTTTTTAATCAGGATCTTATAAGGACTTACAATTTGAAAATCTGATAAAATTGTCTCAGTTTTCATTAGTTTAAATTATCTAAAAAGATTTTATATTGCATTAGCTAAAATCTATCTATAAAGGCTTAAATTTACAGTAGTTAAAGTTTACCGATAAATGTCTAAATTGCTGTAGTTAAAATCGTTCTAAAATATATTTAAAAAGACTACAGTTCTTATTACCACTGCGTACCTTATGTACTCCATGTACGCGATTTCAAGCTTTCCCCACCTCTTTATAATTATGTTATAATTATGTATAATGTGTTAGGATGCTTCGACAAAATTAGAAGTTTTTCCTACTTTTTCACACCTCTTCATAACGGTATGTGCGTGTTATTATGTTTCAATAAAAATAAAATTTTTCCAATATCTACGCACTTTTTCATAACGCTATGTACGTAATGCTATGTTTCATACATATATGCATACTTCATGGTAACAACTCGTAATAATGTATGTAATAATAATAATGTAATGTAATATATGTCAATAAAAGTATAGTTCTTCTATGCACGTAATAGTATGTTACAATAAAATTAAAGTTTTACCTGCCTCTAAACATGTCTTCGCAACTGTATGTACTTTTGAGTATGTTTCAATAAAATTAAAGTTTTACCTGTCTCTAAACACGTCTTCGCAATGCTATGTACTTTTAAATATGTTACAACAAAATTAAACTTTTTCAGGCCCTTACACACCTCTTCACAACTTTTTGTACGTGTTAGTATATTTCAATAAAATTTAAATTCTTCCTATAGCTACGTACATATTTATAGCGTTATGTACGTAATGCTATGTTTTATACTTACATGCCTACTTCACGGCAGCATTTCTTAACAATGTTAAAATATGAGGTCGGTAAAAGTATAGTTTCTTTATGCACGCGTTAGTATACTACAATAAAATTAAGGATTTTCCTGCCACTAGACACGTCCTCGCAACTCTATGTGCGTGTTAGTATGTTACAATAAAATTAAAATTAAATTTTTTCTACCACACATACCTCTTCTTAACTCATTGTAAGTCTTAGTATATTACATCTGCTCACTTTTTCATAACTACACACCTCATTACTACCTGCGTACACCTTCATAAGTAGAGCTACACACCTCTTGTAAGTGCTATTATGTATAAATAAAATTAAAATTTTTCCTATGTCTATGCATATCTTCATAACACTCTGTACGTAAAACTATGCGTAACAGTTACTATACGACATACTATACGGCGTAATACTATACGGCTTACAATACTTACTATACATGGGCCGGGATAGCCTGGTCGGTAGGGTGCTGGGCCCATATCCAAGAGGTCGTGGGTTCGATCCTCGCCGGCCGAAGACTCCCCGTGTAGTAAATGGTGACTGATGCACGTTAAATCTGTCGAGTCTCAAAGTCCTCCATGTTCCCACAACAAATCTATACCTCTGGGGGTACTGATCCAGGAGTTTCCTTGTCTTCTGGATTGGTTCAAAATTACAAGGCTACGGAGTTGAACGTTAGTAGTCGTAAACCCATAAAATTGGGTCGGCTGTTCAACGACGGTTATAAAAAAAAAATACTTACTATACGTAATACTATACGACAGAAACTCTTAAAAATGATCCATTCTTTCTTTATGCACTTACTTCTTAAAAAGAATATTTTAACCCATTTTAAAAACTAATTAAAATATTATTTTTTAGCGCAAAAATTATGTTATTTAAAATTCACGAAATTATTTAAAAATTCCAAAATTATTTAAAATTACAGAAAAGTATATTTTAATGACATTTTTTTACATTTCTTTTTTGTTATGAAATTAAAATTTACTCTTTTTTCTATTCTTTATATTAATAATGTTTTATTGTAAATGTTATTTCATAATTCTTAGTTTAAAATATTGGAATTAAAATGCTTATTTTTGTGTTTTGTAACATTGTAACTCTAAAAATATATACGCCTATTCAATGCAACGTGCTTAATGCAAAAATAGATATTAGTTTCATTGTTTATAATAATCATCTAGAAAATATATGAACGCATTACTAAACACAAACATGGAAAGTTAATAATCATGATATTAATTTTCACCAGCCTCATAAATATACTTATATTAAACCGCTTGAGGATGAACTTGATATAAGAAAACTCATAAAATCTCATATAAAAACATTCTAGATGATCTAAAAGTTGAAAAAGCTGGCTAAATATTTTTCTAAGTTATTTTCTTGCAATTTATGATGGTTTCAGCTAGGTATTAGGAAAATATTAAATTGTAATACACGCCCAAAGTAACCATAAAAAAAGTTTGGTTTATGGAATTCGATAAAATGCTTCGTCTCAGAATGTTAAATTTATAATTTTTTTTATTTCCTTTTCCATCAGTATTACAGAGAGATTTAAATTATAATTTATTAAAATTCGTGATATATGAAACTAGTTGCTTTAAAAATAAATACAAATACAACTTTATAAAAAACTTTAAATTATTTATTAATTATTTGTTGACAGGACTGTTTTAACTAACATTGCTGTTATTTTTATATGGAGTTTTTGTAGCAATTTTATTGAAAATTTGATCATTTCATGCAATCATGTTGAATGAATTACTTCAGCATATTGCACTTTAATATTATCTTACACTGATGATTTTCGTTTAAAAAATTTTGATTATGATGTTTAGCCCAAAACAAGTTCGTTGTAAATCGGAAAAATAAGTGTTTAAAATTATATTGAAAAAGAACATTATATTTTTTATTTGTAACTGCCATTGAATAGCCGACCTAATTCTGAGGTTATGACTGTCAATGTTAAATCCCGCAAGCTTGTAATTTTGAACCCAATCTAAAAAAACAGGAAAACTGCTGCATCAAGTTTTTCCAAAAATTAGTCTTTGTGGAAGACTTTTTGATGTATCTGACCCGCATTTGCGTTACTTGGAGAGAAAAACCACGAAATCTCCCACTGTCAGCCTGACTTCAAGCAGTTACTTAAGGGTTTACTTTAAGGTCACTTAAAATGGTTCAAACCCATGACCTGTCTACCGCTGAAGATAATTTACGTCAGCACCGTGGTCTGGCAAACCGGAAGCAGAATTTGTATCAACCAGTCACCGCTGGGTTTCGAAACTGGATCGCATCAATGGGAGGCGAACGCTCTATCCCCTGAGCCACCAGGGCATGAAAATGGGACGTTTAATTAATTAACTTAAAATTTTTTAAATTAATCCTAAATATTAAGCTAATTCTCTGAACAAACTTTTTCTGAGTGTTGATTGGTTGATACATTTTGAAGGAAAAATCCAGAGAATTTATGTTAAAATTTAAGATTATAAGGAATAATTGCTGTATTTTTCACTTAAATTTAGCGATATATATCAATATTAATTCCTTTAAACTGTCACATATTTCAAGTTTAAGCTAAAATATTTACAAAATTTGCTAACAATTTTTATTTTAGTTACTGTATAAAAAATCCAAAAAAAATTTTTTTTTCATTGGAATGTGCCATTTTCCCTAAATGAATGTTCCAGTTTTGAAGGAAAATCAGAATGTACTATGTTTTAGTAAATTTCTACCTATGCTTTGGATTGTTGCATATTATGATTGTAATTTTTTAATTGATGATTTTTATTTAATTGCAGTAGTCTGCCAAAAAAGAAAGATGATGAGAAGGGCTTCGCCAGTGACGATGATTTAGGCAATGAATATTATGAGGATTTAACTCCAAAGAAAATACACCAGAGTAGAGCCTTTATGGAACCCAATTGTCCTTGTTGTAAAAATATGTCTAAACGCTACAGTATCGCTTTAATGAGTTCTCTAGGTTTTGTCATAAGTTTTGGTATTCGATGCAACTTAGGTGTTGCTGTAGTTAAAATGGTTGAGCCTTCAGAAGAGGGAAGTGTAAGTATTTTTTATGCAACAAGATTTTTCTTAGATTAATATTTGTAACCTAACGCAGTGCGCATTAAATTTAAAGTGAAAAAAATTTGTTTATTATGCTTTAAAATTTTTGAAATTAACATCAGTTTGTGAAACATACTTTTAAAAGTACATTTGCAAACATTTCTGAGGTTAAATATGGGTTTAAGTGTTGATATCAATACGTGATTCTAAACACTGTTATGAAATGAGTTAGATAAAACTCCAGCAATATTATGTTAGTCGTAAAGTATTGCATCAGAAAGCAATCATTCTCATACTTTAAAGAATTATTTCTTAACATTTCTTATATCGATTATCATATCATTTTCTCAATTTTTAATCTTTTATGGAATTCTAGTTAAAAATTTAGTTAGTTCAGTCTTTGTTTTGTTCCACCACTTATAAGATGTGTTTCGCTTTAGGAACATAATAAATGTTTCTTTTTTATGATAGATATCTTTGAATTGTTTATTTAAGCAAATTTAAAAGTTTTAACTCAGCTTTTCAACACTAGTTGTATATATGTGGAAACTGACCACTGTGAAAATGTAAATAGTTTTAAAGTAATTAAATTGCCTATAATTAAAAGTTAAACTGGAGTGATACCTATAAGAGGCTGAAGTCATGAAGACATACTTACAACGTAACAAACGCTATATTTTAAAGGTACTTTCACAAATAATAATGTTTAAAAGTGATTAAATGTAAAACATTAATTGCAGATTCTAAGCGTAATTTATTAAATGTACAGTGCACAAAAAATAAATGAAAAATCTTGAATATCTTTTTATCCACAATTATCGGATTTTTACGTAATAGGACTCAATTTTAATGGTTTAAAGCAGTGACTTTAAATATGTTAATTAATTTGTAAAAATGATACGAACTCAGAAGCAAAAACATACTATACTGAGTAAAAACAATTTTTTATCTGTGTATTTGGAGTTTTACCCTCAAATTATAGTTGCACTTTGGGAAATATGGCCCCAATAATTTGATAAGGAGAACTGTAGGAAGTTTGAACAACTAAGAGATTGTTCGTGTTCCCCCATAATGTAAAGTTTGGACCCCTCAACTTTTTTAATTGGTCAGATTTTCAGAATGCTTCTCTTTGGGGGTTTTTTTCCTCACTTAAATATTAAATGCAACACATATTGCAAGCCTTTTTGTTTATTTCATTTTCAAATTTTCTAAAAATACGTATGTAGTCCTTATTAAAACAAAAACTTAACTTATTAAAAAAAATTAACTGACTTTTTAACCGCTTAATTAAAGATGTAGACGAGATGTTATGTTTCCTCTTTACATCCGGACACATTCATTTACAATTCAGGTTCATAAATTATGCTCCAGATTTTATTTTCAAGCCCTATAGGGCATGTAACCTCTGTAAATTTATATTATGGAACATTCTTCAGTTGTAGCTTAGAGCTCTGTAAACAGTATATCTTTACATCTGCACATTTGCACCCGTACAACCCAGAGTCACTCTCGGTGATTACTTCAGTTAATGGCCTCCTTTGTTCATCACAATCTGCTCGTTTACTTGTACTGATAAGACACAGAAGAGCTTTGCTAGATTGCAGTGTTCCGCGGATACTCCTTATTGGGGCTGTGTGGAGTTGAATTAAATATTATTACTTTAAAAATGGACTTTCATGATCATACAAATAATTTTTCCTTATTTTAATACAGGATTCCTCGTCGGAAAAAGTAGACACCGTAAATCAGATAAAATAAATAAAACAATAAATTTATTTAAGTTCCAGTCTCTTTATCTCAAATTGAACAACGATGAAATTGGAACACTATTCTATTGGAACATCTTTGTATCAAAGGAAATCATTACAGAACCCTTTGTATAGATATCATAACTCTGTGCAAGTTTTCAATTATGAACATTTTAGAAAACTATTGAAGATATGCCACTAGAGTTTTAACACTAAAAGATATGATGTTTGAAACTGATAATGAATTTCCGCAAATTCTTTCTTAATTCATTTATTTATTTCAAACATTCATGACTAAGTAAGAAAATGGGCATCTAAAAAATATATATAATTGTAAAAATATAGATTTAACTCTATAATAGATATTTCAAATTAATGACATTGAAAAAATTTTCCTAAACTTTTTTTTGTTTAATTCATTCTAGTATATTAGGCTTTATGATAGTAACTAAAGTGAGCAAACAAATAATTAAATATAATTAATTTTATTGTAAAATATAATTAATATTTTTATTTTTCAGCCCCCGGAATTTAATTGGACTGCCGGGACTATTGGTTTACTTGATTCTTCATTTTTTTGGGGTTATTTAATCACTCAAATTCCAGGAGGATTTATGGCGACAAAGTACCCCGCTAATAAGTATGTATTAATACATAAATAGATTCATATTATAACAAAATAGATTCATATTACAACAACATAGTACATTAAAACTGTTTTATGTTACTTGTAAAAAAAAACGTTGGATTCATGAAATTATATTTCTTTTTTAGATTATTTGGCGCCGCCATTTGCGCTACGTCATTTTTAAATTTATTAATTCCAAAAACTGCAGAAATTCATGAAAGTGTAGTCATGATAGTAAGAATACTCCAAGGATTGGTGGAGGTAAATTTGATTAAGTATATCATTAATTAATAATTCTATACAATTTAAATTAATAATAGAAAACTTTAATAAAGAACAAAATGAAATTTCAAAAATAAGCATGTCAGCAAAAACAGTACTTCAGTAACAGTATAACAGTACTGTTTTTGCTGTTTTTGCTTCAGCAAAAACAGTACTTCAGTAACAGTATAGCAGTACTGTTTTTGCTGACAAGCTTACAATTTAAATTAATATTGGAGAATTTAAGTAAAAACCGAATGAAATTTCAAAAATTAGCATGTCAGCAAAAACAATACTTCTGTAGGGTATCTACCACTACAAAATACTATTCTAATTCACAAGTATATAAGACGTGTTAACACGATTCTATGATGGAGTACCTTTTCATAGATTACGGTTGGCATTGTCGATAGCTCCTCGCCCCACATTGGTGACCTTCGGACGTGATGTGAACACACCTACCTTGCCAGTTACGCCCACTTCGATTTGAACCCACCTACTTCGATGGATGGTCCACATTGAACAGTTGACTTACTACTTGTGACTGCATCATTATCCACCCCATCGTGCTGTTGCTACTCAGTCTCGATTAAACACAACGTCGGCCGACATACACTCGACTGCTAAAGGCAACATAGGAGCAACCACGACCGTGTACTAAATACAGCTCTCCCGCCCCACACTTCCATAACAGTGTAACAGTATTGTTTTTGCTGACATGCTTATTTTTGAAATTTCATTTGGTTTTTATTTAAATTCTCCAATGTTAATTTAAATAGTGCACTAAAGGCAATTTCGGTTTCATGCTGCTTTTAGCATTTTTTCCATTTTAGCTTATTGTATGTATTTAAAAATTTGATCTTCGTTATTGTTTTATTCCGTTTTTTTATACTTTTAATGGATTAATAATTCTATAGTAACTTAAATTAAAACTGTGACGCTCAAAATTTAAATGTAACTGTAACTTAAAGTTTAACAATTAATCCGATGAGTAAAGAAATTGAAAAAAATTATTTAATTGAAATTTATCTTTTTGTTTTTTTCTAAATTTATTTTCCATTTATTCAAATAAAGCTCAATTTTATTGTTCAGCTTTTAAAACAAAAATACTTTATTTTAGAACTGGAAAGTATTTCACTTTAAAGATCTATTCTAATTTCGGAAAATAATATTAACTATATTACAATAAATAAAACGTTATTTTCTGTAAATTTTAAAATCTAGTGTCATAAGATTAATCTGTATAAATACATCTATATGAACCACTGTGACTTAGGAGATAGAGCGTTCGCATTCTGATGAGATGGTCCAAGTTCGAATCCCAGCAGTGGATGGTTTAGACGAATTCTGTTCTCTACCTTCATCGACCACGGTGATGATGTAAAATGTCCTCAGTGATAGGTGGATCAAGGGTTAGAATCCCCTTGCCATCTGGCTAAAGGTATGGTTTCTTAGGACAAGCGCCTTATCTGGGCGTCAGCGTTAAGTTGGCGTTACCCCGACGCAAACAAAATTCTGTTTTGTTAGCTCAGCATGAGCAGTCTGTCCAACGTTGACATTAACTAGCATTGAGCATGCGTTAATAACGTAAACAAATATTTATTTTGAATTTGTATTGATTTTGTTATTGTCGACTAGTGCTTTAGAGAACAAATAGTGACTTTGTCCAAGAAAAAACACATTATAGCTGATCTAAATAAAGAGGAAGAAGAAACTATGTTTAATGTTAAAATCAAAATCTTGACTGATTTCAATGCTCTGTTAGATGATGTCCGCCATTGCTTCTGTCGTTAACGTTACGTTGTAATCCAACTGCAGTTGATTCGAACGTCAGTCTGACGTTCTATCTGAGCTTTCGATGACGTATGCTGTCTAACTCACCAATTGACCAATCAGGGGCTAGCACTCATTTCAAGCTGACGTTTTGTAACGCCGACCTGTCCTTAGAAACAAGACCTTAACTGTGAGAGGATTACGTCGTTTTCCTCTCCATGTAACGAAAATGCAGATTAGTTACATCAAAAAAAAATCCTCCACGAAGGTTAATTGGTCCCAATGCTTGATCCTAGAGTTCATTTGTCTTCTGGATTAAATTCTAATTTACAATGCCACGGTTTGATAGTCGTAAACTCGAAAATAGATCGGTTGTTCAACGCTGGTTATAAAATAAAATAAAATACATCTACAATGACCAAATAACTCTAAATTTAGTAAATAATAATTGCTTGAAAATCACTATTTACTCTGTTACGAAAATATTTTACCCAGTTTTTGATTTATTACGTTTCATGACTTAAACTAATCTAGTAAAAGGCATCGTATTCTCCTCATTTATATTTACCAAGAAATGTCAAAACAGCAACTTTTACATTCTCCTACTAAACACCTGCTACACATTATCCCTAAATTTTCCCCAGCAAAGTCCCTAGATTATTCTTATTTCTGTTATTTTTTCCTGGAAAAAACGAGGTAGATGGAATTATTATGTATGAACATTAATGTGCCTAAGGGCATGTGGGAACAGTTATTCACTACGCCGACGCAGAAAATTTGCCAGGGGTACAATTATGCAACTCTCTGCATTACATTTAATGGAAAGAGGATAGCTGTAATCAATTTCATCGAGTTACAAGCCAAATTGTGACAGTAGCTCTGAAATTTAATATGTTCTTAAGCTTTGGTATTGCTTCGTAAATATGTATAATTATGATAATGAATGCTCGAGAGTTAAGGAAACAATATTTTAGGTTAGGTTTCACAATTTATTGACATACACAACTTGGAAAAAATTATTTTAATTATATTTATTCCAAATGTTTTGAATTAAATAGACAGTAGCTAAAAGGGTTTTTTTAATGTGAAGATAACTTATAGACGTAAAATAACACAAATTTCATTTTGAGTTAACTTTTTAAAATATTTATATTGGATCACTATTTGAAAGGTATGAAGATAGATAAAGTTGTTTTATTAAACCTAAAATTGATATTTAGATTAATATTTAAAATAATATTCAAAATGATATTGCAATTAATATTTTAATTAATGTTTAAAAGAAAAGTCAGCAAATTAAAATTCCTAGAATATTTTAGTTTATGAATGAAAGGTGTATTTTTAAAATATTAATGAACTCTTAATTTTTCAGTCTTTCATTTTTTTTTTCGTCTAAACTTCCTGGTGGAATCTATTTTTTCCTCTTTGCATAAGCAGTAGCTTCATTTTAACTTCTAGAACATCTAAAAATTGCATTTCTGTACGGAGGAAAAATTCTAATACAATTACCGAACTGTATGATAATTACACTTCTGTTAGGGAAAAAAAGCATAATTCTGATATTAATAACCAAAATGTAAATGTACGGTATTTAAGCCATTCATTTGATAATTTTTTCGCTCACATAGCAACGGTTTGCACCGTTAAAAATTCCGAGCCATGTTGCACCAAAAACTTATATTGGTTTGCCAGCTACATAAAATGGAGCTCAATTTTATTATATTTTGGTGTTTATCGGTAGACGGTTGCACCAAAAGTGGGTGTTTTGAAGAAACAAAACATCTAATTTCATTCTTTCTTTTTTTTCTTCTATAAAATCAGGGGAACACCATTATTAAGTATTTCAAATGCAGGCCAAGGTAGTTGTTTACCGTAAATAAACTATTTACCGTAAAAAGTTATTTTACCTCTAACCATCTTATACCGCCAACCAAATTTAAAAAGGCAATATAAAAGAAACGAACTTTAATTAAAGCAAATAAGCGATTTATCTACCTAAATAAGTAGAACCTTAAAACAAAATGCATTTATTCGTCCCGATATACCGAGACCGAGTTGTAAAGAAAACATGGCGTCGTAAACAAATATCGTTCAATTTACCGTCACCGTTTAAGTTTTGTGTCTTTTTACAAATTTTGGTGCAGTCAGTTGCACCAAGGAAGCATTTCTTGATCATACTTCACAATTTATGATGCAACTTAAATAAAATGATTTTTCATTTAACTAAACTTTGGAATAATGAGAAACTTTGCACCGAATACTGGTTAAAGATTTACCGAATTTTTTGACAGTACACCAGAATTGCGGTTTTGAAAACTATAGTTCACATTACCACACACTGAGTATCATGACAAAATTATGATAAATTTAGCCACATTTACCAAATTTTATCACGCATTTTGAAACCACATTTTATAATTAGGTTTTCCAAAATCATAATCAAAGCGCTTTGTTAGAAATTACCGAGCCTTTCTGTGTTCCAATACAGCCAGAAACACGGTCAATTTTACCTGTACTCAAATTTTATATAATATTCTGGTAGTTTTGACCATACGTTTTTCCTCAGTGTAAGATCAATGATAAAACTGTATTCAATTATTAATACTAATAAAGAAAACAAACTTTTTTTTAAAAAAAGAAATATATTCACTTTCAATCTTAAAACGCAATTAAGTTTTAAAATAATATTGAAAGCTAACAGTGCTATAAATAATGAGCACATTACAACTCATTACAATACAGAGCTATTATTGAGCATTAATATTCAATAAATATAAAACTTACTATTCTTCTTTAAATTTATAGCTCAATACTTTAATTTTATCTCCATCAATGTCTAAGTTTCAAAGATAGATCACTTAAATTTTACCGTGAAATGTAAAACATAATCCATAAATGATTTCTAAAGCTGACGATATTAAAAATAAAATCAGTTAACAATGGATAGCAGTCTTCTTTAAGCCTGAGACATTAATCAATAGAAGATGAATGAAGACGAACTTTAAATTTTCGTTGAAGTTTCTCAAATTATTCGATTAAATATAAAAGCGGTTTTAATTTAGTTTCTTCATTATTCGGTGCATGTGTCCTTTAATAAAACTCTACGTTGAATTAGCTACCTTGGATTACAGTTTTGACGAAAAGTTATGAGAGGTTTGTGGTTAATGAATTTTTCTTCGTAAAGAAAGTTTCAGCTTTAATTAAGTTATCTTTTCAATAATAGGTCG